CATGGCACGGCTAACTCACAGGTTGAACCCTGAAACAACCTCTGGGCTGATCTAAGTCAGGGCATGGCTAACTCACAGATCAAACCCTGAAACAATCTCTGGGCTGATCTAAGTCAGGGCATGGCTAACTCACAGATCGCATGGGAATTCATCGTGTTCGGTTTGGGGGAAGGAGGAAGAACGGAGAATCAGCAGAAAAACCCTCGAATCAAGAGAGAGACAATCTTTTCTCACATAAGATGAGAAGTCCAGAAATCAAACCCGAGACCCCAGAAATGCTGATAGGCGAGCGCATGCGCACTATCAGTACTCAGCCCTTGTTTCCCAACTAAAGCCTTCCTCGGATTAGAATTTTTATGGTCTAAAGTATATTTCCAATATTGTTTTGCAGAGGTCGTACTTGTTCCATAACCGTGCTCTCACACCTCCAAGGACAATCAAACAGAAAGAGTACTCCGAACATCTTAATGGACAGGTAAGCATGACGTAGCGTGACCGTCACGTTATTGAACAAAGTGCGCTGTGATTGGCTCAGTTAACTCTAACATTCCTTCGTTTTTCAGGTGACCACGAAGAATGAGAAGTTGCGTCGCTTGGCACAGGAACAGGAGTTTTTGGAAAGACTTGAGCAAGTTCAGCTGGCTGAAGAGTAAGTTTGTCTTACATCTAACATGAATAAACCTCCCCCATTTCAGACTGTRTCATTCCCTAGAGTATGATTTCTTTGTTTAATGGTTGCACACGAGAAGACACATGAATATGGATACAACTCAAACAGAGAGTATTATTCTCAAGAAAATAACACTGACAGCCTGGAATGGGAAAACATTACACCTGAGCTAAAGATGTCTATATTGCTGTAATGCGGGTAACAAAATAGTTCGACATTTGCTCTGCAACTTGCAATGCAATTGAAAAAAACGCACAATTCAACCAGTACCAAAGATGCATGAGACAAGCACCTTGTGATAATTTCTGTTTTATTTTTATTATTATTTCTCAGCCTTGCTTCACAGAGAGAGCAATACCTACGAGAGAAGAAGGTCGCTAGAGACCTCTACAAGAAGGCTCTAGACACACAGGTTTGTGCTAATAAACCACGTTATTTAACGATGTATATCTCACATAGGAGAAGGGTAAAAAAAGAGTAAAAGAAGAAAGAGAGACAGCAAATAGAAGTAGAGAGAAGAGAAAAGAAGTACAGTAAATAGAAGTAGAGAGAAGAGAAAAGAAGTAGAGTAAATGGAAGTAGAGAGAAGAGAAAAGAAGTACAGTAAATAGAAGTAGAGAGAAGAGAAAAGAAGTACAGTAAATAGAAGTAGAGAGAAGAGAAAAGAAGTAGAGAGAAGAGAAAAGAAGTAGTGTAAAGAGAAGTAAGGAGAAGAGAAAAGAAGTAGAGTAAAGAGAAGTAGAGAGAAGAGAAAAGAAATAGAATAAATAGAAGTAGAGATCAGAGAAAAGAAGTAGAGTAAAGAGAAGTAGAGAGAAAGGAGTCATTATTGTGTTTTCAGTGGATAAATATTTTTATTCCCGTTAACGTTTAGGTGATGATCAGGCATCAGTTAGGCGTCGAGGGAGTGCTCGATATGCTTCTTTCCTTTGCTCATCCCCTCAAAACCCAATTTGATCCTTTTAACGACTCGCTACTTCTTGCTAGGAAGCCAAGCAGAAGGGTAAACGATAAGTAGACAGTTATGTTGTATCGTTGATTCATTGTAGATAGTTGACAGTACTTTATTGAAAGTGTAGATAGTTTAAGTAGGTGAACATAAGATTCTTATGTTGTTATAGAAATTCAACACACTATTTATTCGTGACCATGCTGATCTCTGCTCTACTCTGCAGTGCTGTGCACTGCCTTGATGCTATGCTATCCTTCACTCTCTGCTCTGTTCTCCTCTGCTGTGCTGTGCTGTGCTGTGCTGTGCTGTGCTGTGCTGTGCTGTGCTGTGCTGTGCTGTGCTGTGCTGTGCTGTGCTGTGCTGTGCTGTGCTGTGCTGTGCTGTGCTGTGCTGTGCTGTGCTGTGCTGCTTTCATTTTTTCTCAACTGACATATTTTTAATTTCCTATACTAGGTTCGCTTCAAACCACTGCCAATCCCAGCCCTCGAACCAGATTCAACAGGACCAATATTCGGTATTTACGATTCTACTGAAGATAAGCTCGATGAACAGCGACGACGTGCAAAGAATTTATTTCACGACCAGCTTGATATGGTGGCACAGAAGAAACGCCAAGCCATACTGACTGATTTACGAAACCAGAAGGAAGAATCAGACATGTTGGAGCGCACAAAGAAAGAGTACGTACCAACCAGCTAGAAACCTGGGCGCAATTCTATTACATCTAGGAAATACTATTACTAGTAATATCTAAAACTTTTGTCGATTCCCTGGGCTCGACCTCTGGGCTGATAAGTCAGGGCACGGCTAACTCACAAATTGAACCCTGAAGCAACCTCTGGACTGATCTAAGTCAGGGCATGACTAACTCACAGATCAAACCCTGAAACAACCTCTGGGATGATCAACTGAGTCGGGGCACGACTAACTCACTCGAATTGGCTCTACCTACTCACATGTAATGCCGAGTTTCATAAATTGAGTAACTGATTTTGCCACTCTTCTTTAGCATAATCATCGATCGTTCGATACGTCATCAAGAACAGCTTGAGGGACGCCGTAACCTCGAAAAGTCCTGGGCCCAACACGTGACAACCAAAAAAGAGCGCGAACAAGACGAGAAGCTGCGCTCATTGTCGCCAGGAATGTTGATTCACGAACAGTGCGACAAATACCATCGATGTAAGCAGTGCGGACGACGTCCTCAGAATTGCGGAGAATCAAACGTCTGGTCAGAGTCTCGTTATATTCCTGGGTCACGGCTGATTGTCTGAGTTCTTTTAATCACGTCAAGAGAATGAAAAGTTACAAACAGTATTTACAGAGACGACGCACCAACGGAATCTTATTAAAAATCACTTAATATGCATGCTGTTGGAATTTCTTAAAATGGCAATGGCCATCGGTCATCATAGTTCCTAAGCTCTGGTTTCTATGGTTACCACGCTTACTATCGTTAAAAAAATTTTGGTTGCTATGGCTACCAGATTTTGGCTCAATGGTTATCAGGGTTTAATTACTATGACTACCACATTTTTTTGTTTCTACTATTATAAGTCTTTGGTGACTATGGTTACCAGGCTTTGGTTTCTATGGTTACCAGGTTCAAGGCTATCACTTCTAACAGTTTGTACCAATGACACTCTCAATATCACTGTTGGCTTATTGCAATAGTTAAGATCTGTGAATTTTTTCATCCAAGCACTTCTAAACTACTAAAATAACAGGTTAATCTGTATTAATGACTTAATAATTTCTCCAGGTTTCGACTTCATTGGCATTGTACTTGTCTCCTAAGGATGCATTGATTATGTATTTGGGGTAGGGGGGTGGGGGTGAGGTTCATTTTTTAATGTTATCTACAATTTTGGTCCCCCAATCCACTAAAAATTGAGTCCCATTGAACGTACAAATAATTTTCAGATATTCCAGAATTTCACTGCCCCCCCCCCCCCCCCCTCTGCATACATAATGAATGTACTCTAATATGTGAGACAATCATTTGGCATGACAGTACGATGTATAAACTTACCTAATGTGTGTGATATGAAACAATTTCTATATTTATAGAGTATGTGCAGCCCATATCATTGTGTGGATATTATGAATAAAGTGTGATTATTATGAACAGACCTTGTGGTTGAAACTGGTTTTTTYATATATTTTTTTATCTTGTTTTATTATTTTTTAGGAGGCCCAGTGTAAGATTAGATTTGCTAAACTGGTGTATTTTATAAATACTTTCTTAAACCTTTAAATAAAGTTCACTTACTTACTGTGCATGAAACATTCAAAGAGTACACTGTACTAACGCGAAATTTGGTATCCTGGTAAAAGAAGAGAAAATAGAAATAGAATGGAAGGGGAAAATGGGAAATGAATGGATAAAACATGTATCAAACTGTATCAGACAGATAATCCACTTGTAATGAAGCCATGTGCACCGAGGTGGCTTTGTTTGTGAAATGGGAAGAAAGGAAGATTGAAAGAAAGAAGAAAGAAAAAAATAGCTGGAAACGAAGAAGGAACGAAAAGGAAGTACTGAAAGATAGGAAGTGAAGGATAGAAGGGAGGAAGAAAAGCAGAAGAAAAGGAAGGAGGAAAGAAGAAGAAGAAAAATAAAAAGAACTTAGAGAAAAGAAGTGAAGAAAAAACACACACACAGTTTAGAAACTTTTGAAACGGAAGTAAATGTCCCAATCTTTCTTGTTACCATTCCCCTCTCACTTATTTCCAAAATGGCGGTCGACTCGATCAAAATGTAAATTGAATTTTGTATTCTCTCTCTAAATCGAACTGCACTCAAAATCATTTGCCTCCAGCCATTTTTTATAAGCCCTAAGTCGTAGACCAACGAACAGGGGGAAAGATTACAGCCCAGAGCAAGGGAAAAAATTGAGAAAGATATTGAGATTTGACATTACATAAGCATAAGATCAAGGGAAGATAATATTTTTTGTTTACAATGTTCAAAAGGGTTTATTTAACCATCAGGACAGAAAAAATACCTGTAACTTGTTCTTTACTTGGACGAACAAGATGGTTCTCAAGCAAGAAGGATTTTGTTCCTGATCAAATGCAACGCTGGAGTCTGCATCGATACGGTGCTGATGCTCTCGTACTGAACACTGTAGATACTCCTTTAATCAAATCACCATCGGATATTCTTGTTAAAGTCCATGCAGCTTCTGTTAACCCGATAGACCTGAGAATTCGTAATGGTTATGGAGTAAAGTTATTGAATTTGTGGAGAAAACTCAAGGGTACTCAGGAATTTCCATTGATTTTGGGGAGAGATTTTTCTGGTGTTGTGGTGAAAACTGGTAGACGAGTGAGGAGATTCAAGCCTGGTGATGAGGTGAGGTTTTGCAGCAATATTGATTCTCATAATGTGGAGATAATATCTAAAGATTTAATGCAATATTAAGAAGTGTCTTGTCTTAAGGAGCAAGCATAGCTTGGTTAGTTTGCTGAGCCACCTGCCTGCTAAGCAAAAGGTCAATCATAGGGGTGAAGGAGGGGTGGCTGGGGTCACTTACGAATATGGCGGGTGGGGAGTTGTGGGGGATCAGCCTCCTACTTTTTTAGGATTCTTTGTACATGGACAAGAACTTATGACAAAGAAAGTCTATATTGAAGCAGCTTGAACAACCGTGGCACCAAACAAACAAAAAAAACGTTAAGGACAAAAATAAAACTAATTAATTTTCAGCCCCTCATTCTTCATTTCATTCAGTGCCATCACTGTTCATAGGGCCCCTATGGTTACCAGCTATCCTGAATGGGCCACCCTGTTGAAATAAAGTTAATCTTGTCTTTGATACTCAGTTGCCTTACAATTTTTTCTGCTTGTATTTCAAGGTTTGGGGTACACCAAGTGTACCAAATGGAGGAACACATACTCAGTATTTAATAGCACAACAAGATGAGGTAAATCTTAATAGCTACATGATCAAAATCTTTCTAAAGAAAATACTAAAAAGTAGTGTCCTCAGACCATCACATTCCCCTTGGAAATTCCAATTTCCCGCTGTGGAGGATATATGAATATCTAGAATTGCAATATCTCTCTATAAACATTTTTTATGGGTATTTTCTTGTATTCAACATGAAGCAGGTCTCAATGTGTAAAGCTTACCTTGTTTTACTCAATTCAACCTGTAGATTTCCATGAAGCCTAGTTGTTTAAGTCATGTAGAAGCAGCATCATTACCCTATGTGGCATGTACAGTATGGGTAGGATTGAAAAGCAGAGCAGGACTAAATGAAACTAATTGCCCTGGCAAAAGGTAAATACCTGGGGTTCCTGTGGTTAGAAATAAGAGAAAGGCTGGAAAGGAGATGTAAAATACAGGGATAACCTGCAATGCTTGTGGTGCAGTGTTGTGAAGTAGAGAGGAAGGTGACATCATACTCCAGTGAGCAACACAGCATTTGTCCATATTGTTGAATGATCTACTTTGCTAAGCACAAGGGCTTCCTGTGGTGAGAAAGACAGAGACAACCTGGGAAAGAGTTAAATAATCAACTCCATATAAGGCATGAGGAATAAGAAGATTTATACCCAAGCTAGACCAGAATGCACACCGTTCTCTAATAAATAAGCCCTGAATAGCTAATAAATTAAAACTCTTTATGCTTTTGTTATGAGATTATAATGCAATGTTATCTCAATAGCGCAGCGCACAGATTCTAAAAATAGCTTAAAGATTCGGACAAACATTGCATTCTGTTTAACTGCTATGAGGATTATACGAACCGATTTTATTATTTTTACTTAGTTACAATAATAACCCATGTAAACTAAGATCAACTGCGATCGGCTGTGAAAATTATCTGCTGATAGCAAACTTATAAGTTTGTTTGTCTAAATTTCGCCTTTGCTTTTGTTCTTATGACGTCACGTTCGCGCTGCGCTATGGACATTGGATATATTTATCTTTGTCTGTTGCTTTACTAGGGTCTTGGTTTACGGGGGATCTGGTGGAATAGGAACATTTGCCATTCAGGTGAGTTTTTCCCAACATCGTCACCCTGTGTTTTTGCAACTACTATTTCCTTCCCACTCATCCATTGATTTATCCATCCATTAATCCTTCCAGCTATCTGTCAATCTGTCCTTCCATCCATTTACCTATCCGTCGATTTTTATAAACATCCATCCATGCATTCGCCCACCCATCCCATTTCTTTGACCCCCAGTCTTAATGGTTATATATTGCAAAATTCCAGTTGTTAAAGGCCTGGGGAGCCGATGTGACCACCACCTGTAGAACAGATGCCGTAGAACTTGTAATGTCTCTGGGAGCTGATCATGTGATTGATTACAATATGACCGATGTTGAAGCTGAGCTTGAAGGCTCTGAAGGGTATTTTACCATCAGCTTGTTTGAGTTTTTCCATTGTTTACTTTGCCATCCATTTGCCTATCCATTTATCTATTCCATCCACCCAACCCTTTATCAATCCATCCAACCACTGTTCATTCTGTCTGTCCCTCCCATCCATCCATTCATCCATCTATCCATCCMATCCCATCCCATCCCATCCTCACATCACATTACATCTTATCCACCCATCCATACTGTTGCATCCATTTATCCCTCCATCTATCTATCCATTTCATCCATCTCATCTTCCTTTTATCCACTCTTTCTATTCATCCCTTGATCAATATTTCCCATTTATTGTTGTCTTCAGGTTTGATGTCATCTTGGATCCATTTGGAGGCAAATTTGAGCAGATGTCAACCAAGCTGTTATCCCAGTGTACAGGATCAGTATACGTTAACCTTGCTCCACCCCTGTTACCCAACACTGATCGCCTGGGATTAGGGCTTGGTATTGTATCATCTGGGCAGTCCTTTCTCTCATCCTTTGCTCAAAAGGTACCATATTGCTTTATGCATAGGATTATCTGAGTTTGATAAACAGGATGCATTCTGGTCTAGCTTCAGTACGAGCAGCCCCATATAAGGCATGAGAAGTATAAGCTGTTTCTACCCAAGATAGACCACAATGCAACATATTTGCTGTCTTAGAAAAGAGGTGTATGGTTTAAAAAGAAGCATATTACTTTTCTACTTTATGCAACGATCTAACAAAATCTAGATATTAGCAAATAGTGAAAACAGTACAGATGGCGAAACGAGCAAAACGATGGTGGATTGATCTAAGGCAAACAATTTCTGCGACATGAATCGGAACTGCATTCACTTTTTACAATGGAACATATAGTAAAATCAAGCCTCTACTAAAACAGGGATTTCCTTACGGAATGAGACGGTTTCTAAGAGGTATTGCATCGTAATGAGTCAGTTTAACAGTTGTGCATGAATAAGAATACAACTAAAACAAAGAATCTTATTCTCAAGAATGGCACATAGTCTGGAATTGGAAAACATTACACTCAATCTGAATGTGTTTCTTTCTTGAAATGGTTTGTTTTTTGTTTTTTTTCGGTTCCTTTTTTTTTTTCATTTTAACTCATTTTATGAATTATTCTTAGGCGTTCTTTAAAGGTGGTTCGACAGCATGGGCGTTCTTTGTCCCCAACCCTGGTGCTCTAGATCACGTGGCTAGGCTAACAGAAACAGGACAGGTATATAGGTTATTCGTTGAAATATCTTCAAATACCTTCAGATTTTTTTGATACCCTGAAACAACCTCTGGGCTTATCTAATTTAGGGCACGCCTTATTCTCCGATAAAACTCCGATACAACCTCTCGGCTGCACTCACAGATCGAATCGAAATTTCATTCGTTAAGTTTCGGGGAGGGATGAAAACTATAGAACCCAGAAAACAAACCTYAAAGGATAGGAGAGAAAATTAAGAAACTGTGCTCCAATATAATGGTGAGTTCAGGGATCAATCTGCGATGCATTTGCATAGCACACTAATATGGAAACGCATTAGTTTCAAATCATGTTCTATATGTCTGTGGTTTTGTTTTCCTAGATTCGTCCAGTAATTCAGAGCTTGTTTCCCTTCAACGAGGTCCCTGAAGCATTTGCTCAGCTAGAGGCTGGCCATAGTCGTGGGAAAACAGTCATTCAAGTGGCAGAAAATGGAGAGACATGTCTTTGATACTACGTGCCGATTGTGAGAAAATATTATATTGTACAGCAGCGGTTTTAATGAAAGCTCGTTTCGTAAAGTCACTAGTTTAAGAAATGAGAAGTAAAAGAGGAAAGCTATTACGTGGTTTCTACTATTTATTTAAAATGCAGAGATATTTCTTTCTTCCTTCCTTCCTTTCTCTCTCTCCTGTCATTCTTTCATTTCCTTTTTAGTTTCGTATTTTCTCTCTTTTTTTCTCCTTCCCGTTCCTTTTGCTTCCTTCCTTTCTTCTCTCTCTTTTTCTCTGTCTTTCTTCCTTGTTCTTAGTTTACTTTCTCTGTTTCTTTCTTTTTCCTTGTTCGTTTTTTCTTTGTCTTCCATTTTTCATATCATCGTCATAACCAACTTTCCTTTTTACTGAACTCGATCTGTAAAGAATTTTCTCATCATTGTTAAAGATAAATGCTAAAAATCAAACAAGGAATACTTCCAGGACATAAAGTGATACGAAAATGAAAGAACAAAGCATTCAAATATAAAATTTGAACACCTTGAAGCTCATAGATAATCGTATTCTAAAAGATAGATAAAGTTGTTGCTTTAAATAGTGTTTCAATCTTTCTCGGTGAACATTAATTTCTATTTCACTTTTAAAATCTAAAATCTTGAAGTTGAAGTAAGCCTTTAAAATTGCAGTCGATGTTTACAAGTTTATCTCAATAATAGGTAGATTAAGATTCCCGTTTTTTCTTCCCGCAAACGGCAAACGTGACCACGTTTTCATCGTTTCCCTACAATTCACTTTCCGACAAAGACACATATTCTTATTTTTATCTACTACTTGGAGATTTTTGCGATTCTTTTTCACTAATTTTAAAGAATTTTTTAATGGTCAACTGACGTTTCACGTTTGCCGTAAACGAGAAGCTTAACCTCTCTAATTGTCTCGATAATTGTTTTATAACCACAATTCAACTAAATGACCCCTATTTCGTGTATAAACACGAATAATGTACTGTTTACCATTAATTAAAAGCTCCTCATCTTAGGCTTTCGCAGTAAATGATAAAATCAGTGTAAATATATCATTGATTTTCACTTTAATCTGGACTAAAGTGTGGACTTTTAACAGCCACTTGCCCTTGGATTTTGATTTTTTTTTAAGTTTCAAGGAGGTTAAAAAATGAATGATTCAATAAATACGAAGATAGATAAATGGTATGGATAAACGAATAAGTGAATGAATATATGAGTAAGGCACAAACATGACAGATGGTTGGAAATATCAGAAATATCAATAACTTTAATGACAAAACTAAACGAAACTGGGAGAGAATGTAGCTGAATTATATTCGTGTTTTTTCTTGTCGATGTTAAAGATAAATAGAAAACAAAAACCGTAAATACTGAGTAAATAAATTAAAATATTTGAGACAAATGAAAAAGGAAAATTATTCTACTTCACAACGACAAAATAATTTTAAGGTGGTTGGGTACAATTTATAGCCGACCGCATCAAGCTTGTTATTCGCTTCGTTTATAATGTTGCTTTTATTTAATTACCATGAAACTTTCATCAAATATTAGACAATAATTGAAGTTTATAAAAATTAATTTTTTTTTGAAATAGCGTTAAATAAGTCAAAGTTATAAGGAAATATTAAAACTAAGAAGAAAAAAACAAATTCTGTGTGTTTCCCTTGTTTTATTTTCAAATTGCTTCATTGCATCATTACTATGATATATGACTTACAAAATATCAAAGTTTAAAAAAATTCTGTGSCGCAGATTTTGAGAAAATAATGCGGACATTTTATAACCTGGATTTTGCTCACTTTTCATACACAATACCATTAAAATATGTGGAACCAAGTAACGTAGTTTCAAAGTACACAGAAACGTCCATTGACTTTATAGTTATGAACTGTAAACGTTTGGAAATAATTTTGGTTGGAAATGTTTTAGTAGCTGAGCAATAATTTTTTACGTAGAGTTTTTCTCGCAAAATTATGACCAAAATTCGGACTTTTTGTTTATTTTTGAATTTCTTTGAATCGGCCAGATTTTTTTTTTTTTTTTTTTTGAAAATCCTGTAATGAATTATATAGGATGCTCAAATTCTATGCGCAAAAGATGGCTTTTATTGATTGCGCGCTTCTAACATTTTTAAAAAGACCCGTCAAGTTAGGTGCACCATTGCAAGACATCCTATAAAAAGTATTACAGGATTTTCAAAAAAAGTTATCTTAAAAAACCTGCTTTTTATAACGAAAAAGTGTGAGAAATCAGTTATAAGTGAAACTATGGAAACTAACTCTAACTTTGAATGTCATTTTCCTTAAACGGAATTTATTGAAAACAATTTATTGAATCTGTATACCTGTTAAACTGTTATTTCCTCTGAACTTGACATTAGGTTGTTTACATTTGACARCATTGTCAAGTGCTTGATTTGGAAAAACTTTTAACGAGTTTTTTCGTGTAAAAAGATGTAAATTACCAAAGGTTTAAAGATTGAAGCCAGCGAAGTGTAGACTCATTTCTGGCTTGTCGGACAAGCTGAACAGTTCTACAGCTCGACAGGCTTAAGGGACAGTGCAGTCATGAAGATTGACTTGAAGCTGGTTTTTCTTGTCTTGGTAGTTCTGTGTCTAGTGGGAGAGATCAATGGGTGGGGATCCGGAAGATCAAGATCTCGATCAGGCAGTCGCAGTCGATCTGTAAGCAGATCAAGGTACGTAGAATACGTAGCGTACGTAGTGGTAGATCAGTACTATTCTCTGATCAGCCCAGAACAGAGGTTGTTTCAAGATTCGATTCGTGATGACTAGCCAACCTTTCCCTGCCCTAAATCAGCCAGGAGATGGCTTCACTGTATATCTAAGATTCTATTGTTTGTTGTTTTATTTGTAGCGTAAATAATCTTAAATTCCACATTAATGATTCTTTTCTTTACTTCTGTACAGCTATCGCCGATCAGGGTCACGCGTAAGGTGAGTGAGTTCTTCCACTTAACTGGCCCACGTTCAACCAATTCTTCTCGACCATTAAAATTTCTGAATCTGTGAAAATACCATCTTACTAGCAGTTATAGGTTGCTATCAGTAGACGTCACTTCCGGTAATAGCTCTATTTTGATGGCTTGTAGAATCTTGGAGCTGGTTTTGATCTCTTGTTTTCTGGTTTGATGTTGTGAAAATAGTCAAATACAACAGTTTGAGGACTTATTTTGACATGTTTTGACTTAGCATCCGCTAGTTGCCCCCCAGTCAACCGCTTGTTTACCTCCCATTCAACCGCTTGTTTGCCTCCCAGTCAACTCCAAAAAAGTCACGTGATTGATAGTAAGCAATTTAATACCGCCTGATAATGACCTTAAAAAAACGAAAACTATAGAAGAATATTCCATCGATTATCATTTATGTATTTTTCTTTTCTACTTGGCTGTTTATGCGTTAATTCCAATCGTGCAGGAGGTCTGGATACCGACGATCAACGTCGTAAGTATACATTATTTTCCAGATTTTCAATATGAGAACCAAAACACAAAGCAAATATTAAAATGACACTTTTTTTTGTAGGAGAGTTCGACGCAGCTATCGCCGGTAAGTAGAAAACAGGGGTGCTTACCGGTTTGAACGAATGGTATGTGCAAGAGAGTATGAACCAGTTCATTTTCTCTTGGTATGTGTCATTCCAATCAGAAAGTTCCTGAAAACTCGGCCTTTACTTGCGATTGAGATAATCCACTTTTCCCGCTCTTGATCAGTTGATAAAGTCTTAATAGCGAATTGTTATGACTTCCAATTATATTACTAAAGCTGAAACTTTCTGTCTTGGCCGTATGATAAAATCTAGCTATTTTGTCACTATTAGATATTATTACTTATATTATTGTTATCATTTTCAATTTTTTTTTTAATTTTGACAATTTAATAACTTTTCATAACTTTAAATGTAATGTTTTTCCATGTTTAACAGGGTTCGCAGGGCGAGACGTTACCGAAGGTAAGACGGTAGATTTTAATTAATGATATTCATTAATATTTATTTATTTTCATTTTATCTTTTTTTCATAATTTTTAACTAAAAATTATGATAATATTCCATGTTAAACAGGGTTCGCAGGGTGAGACGTTACCGAAGGTAATAATATTTAGAATGATTATATTTGTTTAGACACGATAAGTTTTACAGAGTTGCTGACTATAAATTATCTATTAATATTTTCAACTATCATTAACTGTTTTTCATAACTTTGAACTAATAATTATAATAATATTCCATGTTTAACAGGGTTCGCAGGGTGAGACGTTACCGAAGGTAA